GATTTCTCGCTTTCTGTCTCTATGTCTCTCTCTGTCTGTCTGGCGAGCGCATGCGCCCTACAGTGAAAAATCTCTCCAAAAAAAAAAAAAGAATTATTTATTTAATTTTATTTATTCATTAATTTATTTTAATTTGATCAGAGAGAGATACACAGAGAAAGAGAGGGAAGGAGGGAAAGTGAGAAAGCAAGCCACCAGTTCCGGGACTTAAACTGTGGTTGGCCATGTGTGGGAGTGTCCAGTGCCTTAACCACCACGCCACCTGCTGGTCCCCAGTGCTGGTGCAGTTGTGACAGCACACAGAAAGCAACTACAGGGATGACGGCAATCGCGTCCCTAACTTCTCGCAATCACATATATGGTATATTTCCCTGTGTGATCTATATGTTCTTGTCATTGTCTCCTTTATTTCCCAGCCTTGACTCCTTGGCCTTTTCCTGGAGGAAATCTCCAGAGCTGGAGTGGCCAGATCAAACCCCAGAGTGCTGACAGAATCATTTTTAAAACCTCCAAAGACGGGAATGAGAAGAGCTTTTTCAGAAACCTGTGTCCAGCTTTGTTGACTAGCTGCAGCGCGTTTGGCTCTTTGTGATGGCTGCAGATCTGGGGGCGGGCAGCATAACTGGGTAGCACAGACCACACCCTCAGTGAGGGGAGAGCTTCACACAACAGCATGGTGGTCCTGGAGGGCCTGAGCAGGCAGAGGCTGACTGGCGTCTGCTGCTCACAGGCACAGGACCCCCAAGGCCACTGAGGGAAATTGGCACATGGATGCCATGGTTTCCGAAACCTCAGATTTTCAATAAAAGGCAGCATGACATCATTATTGATTGTCCATCAGTCAAGGAGAAATAAAACCTGATCTCAAAATGCTTGAAGCTGTACCATCTTCCAAAATCAGTCTAGTTCCAGTTGGTGATGTGGTAGGTAAGGCGCTGGTTCCCACATGGCCGACTGAATGGTTGGTGTCCCGGAAGTGACTTGAAAAAATACACCAGGCATGAGTGTACGTGTGCCCAAAATCCTGGGAGGAGAATGGAGAAGGGATTGAGACTTAGCTGTCCCTCCTTGGGGGTGCTTTCTCACTTTCTCTGTCTCTTGCTCACAAGCACACACCCTGCAGCAAAGCTAACCCTGTGGAGGGTTCTCCTCTCTATCATATGGTGCATATACTTTATCATGAATAAAAAAGAAAAACACGTAAGAAATACATCCAGTCAGAGGGTTATATTTGTAGATTCAAGGTTTTGTGGGTCCTCTTAAAATGGACTTTCATATTAGAGTCAATACAAAAGGTATAGGCCGAAGGCAACAACTAGGGCTCCTTGGCAGTAAACATCACCAGTAGCAAAATGCGAAAGGTGTGGTGTGTCACGTACGTGGTCTAAAGGCCTCATGAGATGGTGGGCATGGAGGGGTTGGTGTGCACCTGGTCTGCGAGGGTGGCAGACCAGGTGAGCAGATCCATCACTTCTGAGAGGAGACAGGTACTGGGCAGAGTTCCCTGCCCTCTGTTGGTAGACTTCCACTCCAGGGCTCTGAACCACATCCAGATCACACACTGAGTCTGTGATTGTTTCACATTCTTGGTAGTGACTGAGGTGTTTTTGGTTTTTGTTTCCTTCTGTTCCAGAGGCAGAGAGGAGAAACAGACAATAGGGGTTTTTTATTTTATTTGTTTTTAGTTTTTGCTGTAGGGTGTATGCTGCATGAGAAAGAGAGAGAGGGAAAGTGAGAAATCACCTCCCAGGGTGATGGCTGTGCCACAGTTTCTCCTCCAGTCTTCTCTTGGGATTTTGCACATGCATGCACACACGCACCCAGTATGTTTTCAAAGTACCAGGTCCGGGACTCAAACCATGGAGTCAGCCATATGGAATCTGCCATCTTAACCTCCATGCCACCTGTTGCCACACACACCGTCAAAAGGGTTTTGATGGCGCAATCCACCCCTAGCTCCAGCCAGTCTGGACCACGGGCATGCGTGTGCCTGGCGTGTTTATGGAGGCCTTCAGAAGTGTGAGTCAACCTCAAGGTTTTGTGGACCCTCTTCAAACAGACTCTTGCATTAGAGCCAAATTGTTGAAAGACAGGACTGTAGGTATAGGCTGGGTCATTACCCGAGTGAGATGAGTTTATTAATATCTGTAGTTGACCCTTACTGGAGAAGCCATTCTATAAAACTTGGTTAACCATTAGAGCATCGCTGTAACCACTGTACACTGACCAGCCCGTTTACATTCTTTTTCTTAGTGAACAGTCTTTTGAAGACTTATGAATTCCTGCTAAGACTAGTAGCTAGTTGGGTATTCTTTCTCATCCTATGCAATTAGAATTATTGGGTCATTGGAAAAGTCATGACATATTTTCTGTTTTTCTCTGCAAAACTGCATTGTAACTTTTCTGACGACCTAATAGTTGGCTTACCAGTTGGTGAAAGTGGGATTTGGAAATCATGATCCAGCGTCCTCTTAGGCCAGCCTCTTGGGCTGCCATTGGGTGGTATCAACAATGGCTGTTCCTCATGAGCCCACTCGCCCTTCGTATTACCTTCCTGGAGAGTTCCTTTATGCTGCAGCTAAATAACATGTTTCTCTGGGGCGGCTGCTGCTTCTGACCTCTGGCTTGCCTGAAGGTCTTCGGTGTCGCTGTCTCTCTGTATCTTACCTTGTGCGTAGTGTTGCTTGCTCTGGTTTTGATTCGTTGCCTGATGCCTCAGTGAGCCTTTGTGGGTGTTTTTTTCCCTTCCTTTTTCCTTTTATTTATTTAGTTATTTTGTCTCTTTGTAAGAACAAGGACGGCATAGAAACTTGAACTGCCCTCACATAATCCTGAGGGTATTAGAAATGCTATTGATTAGTGATTCGACCACCTTCTCCCATCATGATTTTGGCTTAAAATGACAGTGGGGTGTTCATCTATAAATGGCCACACCTAAGTCGGCAAGCTTGCTGGTGGGAATAACCAGTGCCACTAGCCTTAAAGTGGTAAAGCCATGCTATACGAACCTTGTGGGACAGAGTCTTTAGCTCGAGATTTTTCTTTTTTTTAAAATCAACACAAGAAGTTCACTGGTATGTTTTATGTTGGACAAGATCTGAAAAATGGATGCTAACTAAACTTTTTTTTTTTTTTTTGGAGAGGTTTTTTCGCTATAGGGCGCATGCACTCGCCAGACAGACAGAGAGAGACATAGAGACAGAAAGCGAGAAATCACCCCCCAGGGGGGATGGTCACGCCGCAATCCCTTCTCCATTCTCCTCTCGGGATCTTGGGCACGTACGCACACGCGCCCGGCGTGAGTTTTAAGCCACCGGGTCCGGGACGCGAACCGCGGTGGACTACGTGGGAGTCCAGCGACATAGCCATTACGCTAACTGCTGGTTCCCTAAACTTTTCATCTTACTGACCTATGAAAAGCTCAAATGCAATTTTTAACGGTGTCGCCCATTCAGTAGAGTTTATGTCTCATCATAATTGTAGTCTGTTTTCAGGCAAATGTGAATATTTGGTTTGCGTTGGAATTTTACGTTAAAAAAAATCAAGTCAAAAGCAAAGTTTTATCAGTGGGTACTTTTGTATCTTGAACAATTCTTTTTTAACCATTTCATTTCAAGCGGCATGTCTTTCTCCATCACAAACGACACGTGGGAGAGCTTTCTTCACCTTGTTCTCTTTTCACACTTCCTAGTCAATATTTCACAGCAGCCCATTTAAGGAGGCCCCTCAGAGGGTGAGCAGCTTCTATGGAGTAATCAGGGAAGTGTTCGTTTGATTTTACTATTTAGGAACTTTTTCACTGATTAGTTGTTGGTGTGAAAAAATGTCGGCAGTAGCTCTCATTAACATTTCGCCATATTTGGGGATTCTAAGGTGATAAGAATGTCACTTTAAGGAACAGTGGTGCTCGGAAAAGGGTTTCTTGCCCACTGTTAATAATTTTGTGACTATTTATTTAGTCTAATTATGTGCGAGGTTGAAATTAGTACCCTAGAATGTCCTTCCCTCTACTTACTACATTCTTTGTATTATTAAGCATTATTTGTTAATGATGCTTTGGAGAATGATTAGCACTTAGAAAATACTTAGAGCTCTTATTTTGCTCCCCCCACCCCCAATTTGGGGCAGTACTGAAAAAAGTATTGGGGTGGGGAGGTAGGATTTAGGTAATAGGTTGCTTCATGAAGAGTAATCTGGAGTTGGAGTTGGTTACAACTTTTCTTAAAGGGGAGGAATTTGGGCCCATGTATGCTTGTAATGCACCATCCAGCACCCCTCAGTATTTTCATTATTGTAAGTCAGTGGTCTAAGTTGATGCTAAAAGACATCTTTCTGTGTCTCCTTCTTTAGCAGGAGGAGCAATCTCGGAACTATTATGAAGACCCTGAAGTTCTTCGTTCTTTCCCACTTTGCCATCATGTGGCCTCTGGACACTGTCGTCAGTCATTTCAGATTGACTCTAATTTAAAGCAAAGGCCTCTGTCTCCCACCCAGGAGGTGGAAGGGGTGAATATTAGGTTTGAATGAAGACGTGAATTACGAAGAGTCCCTTACCTTCTTTTTTAAGCATAAGTCCAAATAGGCTCTCAGGAATGAGGATTTGTGAAGACATCAAATAGCAGTTTTGACTCATTTAAACTTTAATGCTTAGTTGCATTGCTGGAGAGAAGATATTCATGTTTTTGCTCCTCTAACTTCATTAGACACAACATCATTCCGATAGGTCATTTCTTATCTCCTGTCTGCCTTTCATCCTCAATGCATGTCCTGGAGGGACTTCGTATCTGAAGTTTGGCTACCCGTATCCTAGGAACACTTCCGTTGCATATTCTTTCTTTCATTTTTGAATTTACTGTCTCTCCAGAGACCTCCTACATTGTAAATTGTGTAAAAGGATGGGCAGAAAACAAAGGGCTTGACCGATGTCGCATTTTCGGAAAGAGAACATAGATAAGGCAGCCCCGCTTTGCACCATCCCACATTCTGTCCAGCAATCCGGGTTGGAAGAGATGCAGAGTTTGTCCTTGTTCTCCTCTCACTGCATGCTTCCCTCCAGTGTCAGTTCATTCCCATTAATCATGGTTTTTGAAGATAGCTACTTTTATCCGTCTCTAACAAAGAATTATCAATACTTTATATTGCTTTACCTGTGCTGGCTTCTGGAGATAGAAACAAACCAAGGTGTGTCTCCCAACGAGCTTCTTTTTTATCGTGGGTGTGGGGAATCTATGCAAGGACTAAAGTAAACCTGTCCCAAATCAAAGCAGTAGCAACACAGTCAAAGATCAGGTAAATGGATGTTATCGATGTCTGTGGAAACCTGTCCCGTCAGTCGTTGCATTTTTCCCTTCCCGCACCCGTGCTCCTTTTTCTTACTGTGTTTCCAGGCACTTCCTTTCTGTGAAAGGTTGCCCCCTCCCCCCCATTTTGCTGTTCTTTATAATGAAAAGTAGCAGATCAGATGGATGTGTACATTAGGTGTTTGAGATTCTCTGGAAACCTAGAGTCAAAAGCCAGGTGTCCAAAGGGCTCGGTAGCCTCTCTCAGTAGAGCTTTTGGCTGACCGAAAGTGCTTAAACTGGATTATCATTTCCCCAGTGTTTTCAAGGCAAGACGAGTTACTGTGCTTATCGTGAAATCTGTCTCAGCTGGCGGATGCTCCAGTCATTAGCCGAACTCATTGATTTCCTTTTAGATTTTAGGATCAAAATCACAGTAGAACACATCAGGCAGAGCCTCTCTCCCAGTCCATCTCTAGACCCCGTATATTCATTAGCTGAGAAAGAGCTCCCCAAGTCCGTTGCAAAATGGCTATATTTTTAGATGCTACTGCGTTTTCTCTAAATGCTCACTTTGTGTATTTCCTGACCAGTGGTTAGACTGGTAGGTGGCTCCCTGGACACGTTTTTGTTTTGCGACGTTCTGCCCACTCCAGTCGTTTGCACCGTGCCCTGCAGTGGTGTACCCACTGCGGTGCGAGAGTTTCTGCCTTAGTTCCACGCGCAGAGTAGCCTGGCTTCCTCTGCCTGGACATCGGATGCGTAGGCTGCGTCCACCTCCCACACAGGCTCCTGGGGAGGTCAGCGTCAGCCCTGTCAGGTTGTCTTTGGCAGCAGCTCCTAGTAATTATTTATGCTTTGGGAATGTGTTTTCAGCTCCTGTAAACCTTCTATTCGTTTCAGTTTGAATTTCCCGCATTGTACAGTATATGTATATTCTCTTCCTCCGTTTGTTGTCCCCCTCTCCCCACCATTTGGTTTTTTAAAATGTTCTGTAGTTTTGTACAAGATGAGACTTAGCCTTGGGTACTTCTTGCTGAAGCTTTAATGCTTTGTAAATAAAATCGGATGTTTATTAAAGAACAGGTGTAGACATTAGTTTGTGGACACTGATCGCTTCTGGAACTCACCAGCCACTTTGTACAGCCGAAACTGTGGCTTACTCCAGTGCGTTAGGTCTTTCCGTGTAGAGATACAGGGCTGGATGGGGGAACTTGGTCACGGAGTCTGGCTTTCTACCTCTGAATAAGATTATAAACACATGACTTGAGCAAAAAATTGGTGTTAATCAAAAAGATCATTTAGGAATGATTTCTCTTCCAATTCTTGAACCTGGTATCAAGTGTGTGTTACCGCACTGTGCAGTCCACAGTGCTTGGCACGCAGGAGGTTACAAAACGTACCAGAAGGTTCCTGCCTTTTGTATAGAAATTCAGGAAGGGTAAGTCAGTCACTTGCTGTCTAGTCCAGAGATCTTAATCCTTTTTTCTTCCTTTTTTTAAAAGCAGTTAACATTTTTTTAAAAAGAATTCTTTTATTTAACTTTACTTACTTATTTTAATTTGAACAGAAGGGGGCAGAGTGAGAGACAGAAAGAAGGAAAGTGAGAAAGCAAGCTGTCAGGTCCGGGACTCGAATTACCATTGGCCGGTTGGCCGTGTGAGAGTCCAGCACCCTTAACTACAACACCACCTGCCGGCCCCTCTTAATCATTTTTATAGAAGGTTTAGGAGTATTCAGAGTAAAGGTTTTTTTGTTCATTTGTTTGTTTTTGCCATTGCGCTTGCCAGCGGGAGACAGAGATAAGGAAATTGAGAAATCATCTCGAGAGGGGATGGCCATGCCACAATCCCTTCTCCATTCTCCTCTCAGGATTTTGGTCATATCTGAACATGTGCCTGATGTGATTTTTAAGCTGCAAGTTCCAAGACTCAAACTGAAAGTCATCCATGTGGGATCCAACACCTTAAATACCATAGCACCTGCTGGCCCGTAAGTCTTTGATTTTAATCAGCGCCAAGTGAAGTGTCTACTTACTAATCTTTTATGTCATTGAGAACTTGTCTTTGACATCATAGCTGTTACATAGCAACCTTGACCTTTGACCTAAGCCGGCCATGAGCTCCTGAGTCCTGTGGGGTGTAGGGCGTAGGCTGAGGGTAGGGAGCACTGTGCATCCTCTCCCCAAGAAATACCTTGGGGGCCCTTTACAAAGGAAGAGGACTCTCTTGCTGGTAAAGGTTCGGATTCTAAAGGGCATTCTGGCTTGTGTCTTCATGACTTCTCAGTTTTGTTTAAAATCCCTTGCACATGGAGTGTTTCACCCTTTACCTAATGTTTTCATGTACAGTGTATCATTTGATGTTCAAAGTGACCTTCCTAAAATAGGCAAGGAGGTCTTAATTTACAAAGGAAGAGAGAGAAATAGAAATTTAGGAGGGGTAAGTTACTTGCTCCTAGTCCAGAGTTCTTAATCCTTTTTATAGGTTTAGAGCATTCAGCATAAAGAACTCAAGTTAGTTACCTGAACATGATCCGGATTAATCCTCTTCTTTTAGATTGTTTTTTATTTGGCCAGATTTAACTAAAGAAAGGGTTTCAAAACCCTTTGACTTAGGAGGCTGTCTCATGTCGAAAGAAGTAAGTTATGATGTCATAGATGGTGTCTCTGGATACCATGGCGGGATCCTGGCCAAGGGTGGTGAAATGCCTACCAAGACTTCAGCCACTGGTTTCGTCTTTGGCTTGCTGTTGGCCTCCTACCTGCCTTTGGTGACAACTTCACCTAACACCCTGGCCATCCCTAAGAAGCTGCAAGAGGCTGTGGGGCAAGTTATTGTAAGTGCCACGCCCTGTACTGTCACCTGTGGGCTTGGCTATAAAGAAGAGACCGTCTGTGAGGTGGGCCCTGATGGAGTGAGGAGGAAGTGTAAGTCTCAGCGCCTGGAGTGTCTCACCAACTGGATCTGTGGCATGCTCCATTTCACCGTGCTTGTTGGGCAGGAATTCGAGCTTAGCTGTCTGAGCGCAGAAATCCTGGAGGTAGGGCAGGAGGCTTTCCGGTTCACCTGGAGACTTGCTCGGGGTATCATCTCCACTGATGATGAGGTCTTCAAACCCTTCCGAGTCAATTCCCACTTCGTGAGGTTTCAGTCTGCTCAGGAGTATGACTCCGGGACCTATCGGTGTGACGTACAGCTGTTAAAAAATCTGAGACTTGTCAAGAGACTCTATTTTGGCCTGAGGGTCCTTTCTCCTCACTTAGTGAACCTGAATTTTGATCAGTCCCTTACTGAGGATCAGAAGTTAGTAGATGAGGGCTTGGAAGTTAACCTGGATAGCCATGTCAAGCCTCCCCTCTCAAAGTGGAAAAAGAAGGTGGCATCAGCCTTGGTCCTAGGAGTTACCAGTGGGGTGGTGGGTGGGGTGCTTCTGAGCGTCCCCCTCTGCTGTGTGCTGAGGGGGGTCTGCAGCAATGACAGCCTGAAGAGCCTGAAGGACTGGCTGGCCAAGAGGCAAGGCTGGCCGCCCATGTGGCCACACTCGGTTTTCAGGAGTGTTCCGGGTTGGCTAAGAGCGAGGGCTCCCACTACCAAAAGAATGAGTGGGTAATGTGTAAGTGGCAACCTTGTGACCGCCATGGACAATAATCCCTAACTTCTTCATGGCCGAGACGGGTCTCTTCCTGATTCCAGGAAACAGCCGCTGTCACCTCTGTTCCTGAAAGAGTCCTGTCTTCCAAGTGTGCCCGTGTTCTACTGTTTCCAGCTCCAGGCCTCCCCACCTCCGCCCCGTCTTCTGAGCAGTATTTACATGTAGAAGGATGGATTAGTGGTTTTTCTATTGAAATGTTTTTTCCTCTTCAATAAAAATACTTCAGTTCTAGTAGCTAGATGGAGACCTAACTTTTTTTTTTTAAGAATTATTTAATTTTATTTATTATTTTTATTATTTAAAAATCGCTACAGACTCAGGCACTTACCAGAGAGAGAGGACACAAAAGTGAGAAAGCAAGATGCCAGGTCCAGGACTCAAACCACAGTCACCTTGTGGAAGTCCAACGCCTTACCTGCCACGCCACTCGCTGGCCCCTAACCATTTCTTTTCCATTCTTTAAGTTTAAAATTTCTTGAATTTGTTTGAATTGTCCCATAATCAATGAGGCTTTTTGTTTTTTTTTTTCATTTCCCTCGAGTTTTTTAAAATAGACATTGAACAGATCGTCTGCTTGGTAGGGGACGTGTGTCGTGTGTGGCAGAGGGGGTCAGTAACGACACCTGGCTCAGGTGCGAACTACACAGCTGCCAAGTGTTTGTGAATTATCTGCACTCCCCGTATTCCCTAGGCACACCCTCTGTGTTCAGGGGTAAATAGGGTTTCCTGGCGAAATTCTGGATCCTCTGCCTGGTCGGTCTCCCCCGATCATTCCAGCGGCCTGCTCCTTCCGTTTCAGCTCTTTCAGTGCCTTGGAGCTTGTGTTCCTGGAAAGGTCAGGAGTGTTGGTTTCTTACAGAAGCCACCCCGAGGGAGGACTCGTACCTTCATCGGGGTCTCCCTAGGACATCTTAGACCTCCAGGGGCCCTGACTGTGTCTGAGATAACGGGCTTATGAAACCACCGGGAGAAAGGCTCTCGGGGCTCTCGGCTACCAGCTAAGCTAAGTCCACCGAGAGCATGAGAGCCTTTCTTCCTCTCGCCCTCCTCTAGCTGCAGGAGGTGCCGCAGAAGCCCAAGACCAGCGAGGGTTCCCTTCAGCCCTGGGTCAGAATCACCCGAGACCTTTTGAGAAATAAAGATTCCTGAAGGCACTAATACAGTGTAAATCTTATAGTCAAAGAATCTGTTACTTTCTTAACCTTTCACTTAAAAAAAATTTCAAACCCATTAAGTTGAGAGAAAGGTTTGGTATTTGCCCAGAGACCCGTGACTCAGATTTTTTCTTTTTTCTTTTTTGCTATAGGGCACATGCGCTTGCCAGAAAGACAGAGAGACAGAAAGTGAAAAATCACCCCCCAGGGGGGATGGCCACGCCACAGTCCCTTCTCCATTCTCCTCTTGGGATCTTGGGCACGCACGCACACGTGCCCGGCGTGAGTTTCAAGCCACCGGGTCCAGGACTCAAACCATGGTCAACTACATGGAAGTCCAGTGACATAGCCATTACACCATCTGCTGGTATTCATAATTATCTTTTAAATATGTATCCATTTTGCTGAGTCATTTGAAAGCTAATCACAGGCATTATGAACTTTTGTTCTTCAATCATGTGTGATCTAATAAAGACATTTCTGTGTAATTTTAATACCTTTATCACACTAAGAAAATTAACAGTTCACTAATGTGACATATAGCTGATACTCGGTTTTCCCGTTTCTAGAATCTTACAGCTCTTTAATATCTGATCCAGGACTGAATAAAGATTCATGTATTACATTTGGTTGCTTAAAGTCTGATTTCACAGCAGATTGCCTGCCTTTCGTTTGTGTTCTGTGACATTGATTTTATTGAAGAGTCTGGCTAGTCTAGTTGTCTTGGAATAGTGTCCCACAATCTGGATTTGTCATTTCCTCATGATTAGATTCATGAGGAATGAATCATACGCATTCTTTAAAAGAAGAATTACTTACTAATTTTGTTATTTTTAAAATTTGCCACAGAGCACATGTGCTCACTAGAGAGACAGAGAGGGAAAGTGAGAAAGCAAGCTGCCAGATCCAGGACTCGAACCACAGCTGGCCATGAGGGAGTCCAGTGCCCTAACCACAACATCATCATGCATTTTTGACAAAAGCCCTGCATGGCTAGGAATAGTGCCTCACATCAGGACCCTCCTATGTTAGGTTCGGCCATTGTTGATGGTAATAAGCTAAGGTGACTGCCAGACCTCTCCAAAAGTGGGTGTGCATGTCTGTGCGTATGGATGTTTGTGTAGGTATCTAGTATACACACACACACACACACACACACACACACCTCCTGTGCAATTAATAATCTGTGGGGGTGATATTTTGTGATTATCTGGTTTTCCAAAAACTTCTCGTAAATGTTTTGAAATCCCTTGGCAGTCCTTGCCTTATTTAGTACTACATGCTGGGAATTACAAAATGATTATTGTTTTAGTCATCATATGTATACACATACACATATTTTAAGACAGATTTTTGCCATAGGACACATGTACTTACCAGAGAGACAGTGAGAAATCACCACCCGGGGGGATGGCCCCCCTCTCAGGGTTTTGGGCTTGCCACGTACACGTACTGGTGTGAGTTTAAGGCACTGGGTCCAGGACTCAAACCACAGTCCACTATATGGGAGACCAGTGACCCAACCATTACACCATCTTCTGGTCCCCATCATTTCTATATTATTAGCCTATATTTTTTCTATAAAGAAGAGCTTTTGGTGTGTGTGTGTGTGGGGGGGGGGGGTCCATCAGGTAGTGTATGATGGTTAGGGCACTAGACTCCTACATGGTCAACAATGGTTCAAGTCCCAGACCCAACAGTTTAAAAATCATGATGGCATGTGTGTGTTTGTGCCCAAAATCCAAGAGGAGACTGGAGGAGAAGGGATTGCAGTGTGGCCAGCCCCCCTGGGGAGGGATTTCTTACTTTCTCTCTCTTTGTCTTGTCTCTCTCTCTCTCTAGCGAGTACACACACTCTATGGCAAAAATCTAAAAAAAAAGAAAAGCTTGTTTTACTTTCTTATTTTTGAGGTCTCAATGGATATCCTTTTTTTAGTGATAATCCATTATGGTTTCATTTTCATGTTCAAACTCTTTTCTCCCTACTTGGCCAGTGGGTGTCACTTAATACCAGCTCTTTCATCCTTTTGCTGTGGTCCCATTTGAATATGAACTTTTTAAAAAGATTTGTATTTATTTGATTAGTTATTATTATTTAAGTTGCTACAGGGCTCATGCAATCTCGGGAGAGAGAAAGGGAGAGACAGAAAGTGAGAAAGCATCCCCCATCCCAGGGGGGATGGCCACACCGCAGTCCCTTCCCCATTCTCCTGGGATTTGTGGTACACACTCACACATGCCCAGAGTGATTCTCAAGCTACCAGATGGAGGATTGAACCACTCAGCCATGTGGGATCCAGCCGTCCTAACCTTCACACCACCTGCTGGCCCCAACTGTGAATATTTTACATCAGGTTCATTTAGACTTCTATGGCCCCAAACCTGAATCTGCTTTTTCTCTAAAGAACCCTGATTTCTTTTAGTGTGGAGAGCACTATTTAGAAACCCAGGTCCATGTGCTCATTGTTCCCAGGGAGTCCTAGAGATAGACAAATACATAAACTATTGTAAGTTCAAAGTATCTTCTGTGGGTGGTTCTGCTGCCTAACCATAGTTGTGATCCACTGGCGTAGACCCATGCATAGGGAGTCGTCTTCTCTTGCTCCTATTGCCACAACATTTTAAATTTCATACACCATTACACCTACTCGGTCTACCTCCGAGGGGATGGATTTCAGAAGACCGGGCTCTTGTCTCGTTCTGCTGTCTCCTCTTAACGGGACAAGCTACTGACCCTTCATAGGCCTCTTTGAAACAGCTGACTGTAAGGTTCCCATGGGAGCCTATGAGCTAAACTGCTCTGTCAACTGAAGTCCTGGACATAGATTTGGGAATGTCATTAATGATGCATTTTAGATCAGTACTGGACAATTTACTGAAGTCGTCAGATAACTTGCTGGACTTTAAAGACCATGAAACGGGACCAGCAGATGGCGTAATGGCTATGACCCTGGACTCCCATGTAGTCGACCGCAGTTCAAATTCTGGACCTGGTGGTTTAAACTCATGCGGGTGCATGTGCGTGCATGCCCAAGATCCCGAGAGGAGAATGGAGGAGAAGGGATTGTGGCTTGGCCATCTGCCTTGGGTGATTTCTTGCTTTTCTGAGCGGGGAGGAAGGCCGAGGGGAGTAGTTTCCCATTGTACAGATGGAGAGGCAGGCCCAAGAAGAGCTGTAGCGGATAACTTCTGTACTCTGTTGCCAGCCAGCAGTCAAGCGAAGGATGGACAAGCACAGCTCCAGCGGTCACCCTCTGTGCGTTGGGCTCTTTGATTTCGGCTGAGGTATGAACAGATTGAGCAGGGAAGAGAACAAAAACTCCCCAGGTATGGGGACCAGCAGGTGGCATGGTGGTTAAGGCACTGGATGCTCCTACATGGCCAAACACAGTTCGAGTCCTTGACCTGGTGGCTTGTTTTCTCACTTTCCCTCTCTCTCTATCTCTAGTCAAATTAAAATAAATGAATGAATAAATAAATGAATATATTTTAAAAATGGGCTGATAATTTTTTTTAAAATCCCAGGTGTGTTACGAAAGACAAAAACCTAGTTCAGTCTATTGGAATCTGTGCAAGGAATCTGCCTGCTGAGGGTCATGGGGATACTGACTGGACTAAACCTTGGGTTCTAGAGAGGCTGGTGCTCTCAGCATCCCCTTTCAGTGCCAAGTCTGGGGCACTGTCAGCCTGGGGACGCCATGCTCAATGGGTCCTGGCAGACAGCTCGGCACGGAGTAGTGGGGGTCCCCTCTCCCCTTCATCTCCCTCTACCCCACAGAAGGTTAGGGGCCCCATCAGCCCTACCCACTTCACACCACTGCAGAGGCGTGTTGCTGCACATCTCGTCTGCAGGGAGGTTTGGCAGATGTGAGTGTGTGAGGGAGCACGTGGCTGGAAGCTGACTAGTAATTCTGACACTAGGCTGCCGTGGGCTGAGAGGAGAGGTAGCCACCGCCTTATCCCAGATGCGGGGGTCTCGAGTATCTCAGGAGAGGACATCCCTTCTGGATCATAGAAGCAACACCTCAGATGCCTTGGGAATCAGGGCCCCTGGCGCCAGTTGCCCACTGTCAGGTGCAAAGCCAGCCGACCAGCATGGCACCCGCTGTGCTCTGCTTAG